GCATAATGGTGTTTATTAAATATGTGTATGTTGAAAGTAATAGAAGTGGTGTATTAATTAGTTAATAGCAAAGTTACTTAAAATATTATTTATTATAATTATTCGTATTTATGACAAAAAATTTCTAACAGTATATTTTGAATAATTATATATATATATATATATGTATATATATGCACACACACACACATATATATATATATATATATGTATATATATATATATATATATATGATTTAAATATTGCTGGTTAGGAATTGAAAAATAAAGATACTAACAGAAAACCTTCACAGCCAACTTGAATTGAATACATTTATAAGTAAAATCATCACGTGATTACTTATGATAATTTTATAAATTTATTCTAAACTTTAATTTATTGTTCTTTCTATTTTTTAATTTTAAGTTAATTTTGATCAATAGTATTGATTAATAAAAACCACTGTAAAGCAGCAAAGTATTTTTGATGGCGAAACAACGTTTGCCGGGTCAGCTAGTATATATATATATATATATATATATATATATATATATATATATATATGATGAAAGTTTTGTCGACGTTGATACATATTTGTAATTTTTTTGCAGCCCAACCGTCGAATTAAAAAAAAAGATTAAATAACAAAATTATTTATTCCATTATACTGTCACTTACATTATCACTGTTTTTTATCCTTTGTTGTTTATCCTTTACATTGAAAAAAAGAATGACCTTAGAAAGATAGTTGAGTCTTTACTTATATCCCTTAATACGTCTTGTGTAAACAAACGTAATTTCTCTCATCTCTTGCATGATAGTAACAAAGTAATTATTAATTTCATAAAAAGTAATTCAATACATTTTAGAATCTTTCATTCGTTATATTTCTTCTCTGTTTTTCCTTTCCTTTTCGTTTCTTGCTACTCCTCCCACTCCCATACGCGCTCGTTGCCTACACTGCGGTGCGATGTACTTTTAACCTTGAATAGTACACACAACGCTATGCTACCATAACATTAAATATAGGAGGGCAATATGTGCTCCTCCTATTTCTCGCTTGTTAATTAATAGTTTTTTATTATTTTACACAAATTTAGTGTTAAATCAATTTTTACATCATAATTAATGTTTCCTGTTTTTCCTGGTTTGGTATGTATAATTTCCTCCTTTTATATATTTATATTTATCATCACTTGTCACCACCCCGTGTTGACCACCATGTTTTGAGATGCGCGGTTAAAATTTTGGTTTTGAGATGCCAAAATAGTGTCTTACAGGTAACGTAGTTGTAGATACAATCACTCCACTTCACAATAGAAAATCCCCGTTTTTGACTATCAGGTTTTGAGAAACCGTGATTAAAATTTAGATTTTGAGATACCAAAATAGTGTCGTACCAGGTAATAATTTTTAAACTAGAACTAGAAACTAGCCAGGGATCACCGCTGGCTCCAAATAATAAATGTCACCAAATATTATTAACACATTATTAAAAATACGCTCTTTCACAATTTTTAGTTTTTTTTTAAAAAAAATTAAACTAGTGGGGTGGGTGGCATCGTGCCTTAAGGCAAATTGCTAGAACTTCCCGTACCGTAACGAAATGTTCGAGGAATACTGAATGTTTTCAAATAGATTATTATAAATATTGTAACATTGTCTATTATTTATAAGAAGTATATAAACTGAATTGCAAATTTAAAATTATTTGTTTAAGTTATATTAGAACTTTAGTCAGAATAAAAATAAAATCTGAATTATTTTCGATATACAAAAAAAAAATACTGGTCTTTTGTTGAGACCAGCAGAAAGTTCTTTGAATCATTTAAATCGAACGCTTAGTTCTCTCAAAAACTGCAATTTTTCACATATTTAGCTCCGTATCTTCGAAATGGCTAGGCTTGCCTTTGCCAAAAACTAATAAATACTTCTCCCGATCATTACTAATTGAATGTTTTTTAGATCATTCAAATCGGATATTCCGTTCTCTCAAAAAGTCGATTTCTATTTTCTGCACTCGTTGCTCCGTATCTCCGAAATGGCTGGACCTGCCTTCGCCAAAAACTAATCAGCTCTTTTCCCTATCAATAGGAATCGAACACACATCCATTTTTTCTGAAGTATGCCAAAACGTTCAGAAACCTTCAAAACGTCGAGAAATGTAAAAATTTTTAATTCCGATTTTTGGCCCATTACAATAACTTACCCTACGGGAAGTTAACTAGCTGTAAGTGGAATTCTGTCTTGAGGCAATTATGGCATCGTGCCTTAAGGCAAATTGCTGGAACTTCCCGTACCGTAACGAAAAGTTTGAGGATTACTGAATGTTTTCAAATAGATTATTATAAATATTGTAACATTGTCTAATATTTATAAGAATTATGTAAACTGAATTGCAAAGTTGAAATTATTTGTTTAAAGTATATTAGAACTATAGTCAGAATTAAAAATAAAATCTGAATTATTTTCGATATACAAAAAATTAAAAAAAAAAAAAGTTGAAATAAAATTTTTGTTTTCCAAAATCAATTATTTTGTTAAGACAAGCAGAAAGTTCTTTGAATCATTTAAATCGGACGCCTAGTTCTCTCAAAACTGCCTTTGCCAAAAACGAATCAGCTCTTTTCCCTATCAATAGGAATCGAATGTTTTTTGAACCATTCAAATCGGTTGATCCGTGCGCCCAAAAACGTGACTGGAAATTTGTATTCATACATACATACACACACACACGCATCCATTTTTTCTGAGGTATGCCAAAATGTTCAGAAACCTTCAAAACGTCGAGAAATGTAATAATTTTCAATTTCGATTTTCGGCCCATTACAATAACTTACCGTACGGGAAGTTAAAAAAGTTTGAGAACCGCTGCCACCAAATAATATGTTGACGGCAATAATAATTTTTTTTCTAAAAAAAAATTTTCGATCCCACCGCTGATACCAAATAATATGTTGGGCGCCGATTAGCTCTTCTCTTCATCAACCAATTTCAGTAGATGTATAGTAATATCATAATAAATTAAAATTAAACACAATATTCTTCATGTATACTTTTATTTTCCCGTTCATTAATACTCTGAGATGCTGTCGTCTATTATACAAAAAGTACACAACTGAACAACTTAAAATTCCATTTCGGCTTTATATAGCCTTTTCATTTAATAATCAGATACGTCCCTTGGTTTTGAATATGATCAGTAATTTCCTCATATGTATGAGTGCGAATTATGTGATTCCCCGATCGAAATTCATAGGAATTACTGCGTCGTACGCAAAGGCTCACGTACGCATTTGGAAAAAGTTCATCGATCCTATTTTGATTATAATACTTTTGTTACTCGATATGAGTTAACGATAGTTCTTGGGATGAATACAATGTTAAGAAACTGAGAATCGGATATATGCGTAGCGTATATTATAGTTAGTAGTATATTAGTTATAGTTAAACCATTGGGTCGCAACAATATATATATATATATATATATATATATATATATATATTTAAATATAAAATCTAGAATATTTAACAGATTATAATAAACAATCTAACTTAACTATGGATACGTAGAAACAGAAAGCATATTCAGTTTGCAATGTGATATCTCTAGAAACAATTAATTACTCCTGCAAATTAGTAAATTATTGTTCTGCTTATTATTTAATAAACTCATTAAATTTTTCTTCGATCGAAGTTATTGTAGAATTGAAAAAGAAATTATCTAGTGTTCAATACCGTAAGCGCAACCTACGAAAGTGTAAATTATTGGGCATTATTGATGAAAAATTGCGGGGTGATTTAGTTTGAACGGAACTTGTTAAAAAATAGATACAAATTATAATAGAGAAAAATGGAAAATGGGAAGGCAGTGCATAGAAAATGACTATAAGACCGAGAAACTTAATTGTAGCTAGAACAAATCTTGCATGCGGGCGCCAAAGACCCCAGGACCGGCCCTGTATATATATATATATATATTAGGGCGGGTCAATTTAAAAGTTGCTTAGGCACATATGATTTTTGGATACTAAGGATTAAAATAAGATACTTTGCTGAAGAAACCATACCTCTGAAATGAATTATGATGTCCCGTGCATTGACCCAAAGATAGGGATTGAATTGTGAAAAATTCCGTTTTTATCCATTTAGAGTCTTCCAATCGCATCCAAATGTATAACAAACCCCAACTAACTTTGAAAGGGCGATCCAGAACAGCTGTAATATCTGTCTTGCCTAAAAAATTGAAGCCATACTTTTATATTAATTTTATTTATCAAGCCCTGCACATAGCTTGATCTATGAATCATTTTCTTTTTTATGTGAACGTTAATGCAATGATCATCATCAATATTACGAGGTAATCAATTAACCATCATTAACGTCAACAGGCACATTTATAATTTGTCCCAATATTCCAAATTGTCCATTTGCATGTCGCAATCGTCTAAATTGCATGGAAAACAACCTAGTTAAAATTAACCTTTCAGATACAGTATCTAGTTTAGGTAGATAATTTGGTATAGGTGGTTATACAAACCCGTTAAATTGACACAAAGTGGGAATTTTTCCAGAATTTAATGCCTTTCGACAAGTTTGATATCCGAACTGATTATTTGAATCTGTATTCAGAAAACCATTATTAAGAATTTGTTTTTGAGCAATATTTGATATTTTTAAGTCATTTTGAAACCAAAGTCTATCACACACAAAGCATACATAGCCAAAGCTATCATTTGTAAATTGTTTTTCAAACAATTTTCGTGCATTCCTCAACAAATGGAATTCTTCATACGGAAGTTCAAATACTTGACTCATTCAAATTCATTTGAATCTTGCAAAAGATCAGTTCTTGTCACATTATATACAGAATCATTAATTTGTAATTGACGTGATGTAGTTGGTGTATCAGAAAAAGGTACAGCAGTACTTCCATCTAAAAAGATAAAAGAATAATATGTTTAAATGTGACAAAAGATTCTTACTTATGTGAATGGTATTGACATTAACATCTACCTGGCTCAAGATTTTCTAATAAATTGGCAGTAACCTTTGTATTTTCATGCAGTTGTTTTCTTTGACGATGTAACTTTGATCTTTCAGAGTTTGCAAGAAGCTTTGAACCTGCATTGATATTTATAATTACTAATAATTACTATTATAATAAATTAAAATTAGGCTCCATAGCGATCATAAAAAAGAAACATGTAAACTTTCTCTAAATTTTCCATAAAGATCATGTAATTGTGTTTGTAGAATTTCATAAAATTGAAATTAACATACGTTTATTAACTGCTTGTTTGTTTTAACTATTTCCCTGCCGATACAATTTCATTCTTTGAGTGACTGTAGTATCTGTCTTGCCTACAAAAAATTTTTTGAATTTAGTAATAACCTCAAAGGTATATAGTAACCTTGAAAAACTCGAATAATACAAATTACTTCAAAAAACATTTTTTCAATCTCCACATCATTCAATTTTGGAATATTCACTCGCCAAATCCAAATCTCATACATCTATTATGCTATTTGCTTTTTCATTTATAACCTATTGAAGAAACACAATATTACATTTCACATACCTTGTCATTCCTAGTTGGAAAACCATGTAATCTCATTGTTTCTCTATTTCTTCATTCATTCTTATTTCCTACGCAACCAGGAACGTGACAAGTCACCCACCTTCACTGCACTTTTATAAGTTTATATAGAAAATTCTTTAAACTTCACCAACTAATCGAAAATTATATCTAAAAGAACTACGAACGTAATGAGGATTTACGAGATTTACCGACACAGCACAGTATAGGGTTAAGCGTTCGACTTACGCATGACATGACGGGAGTGGATACTCGCGACATCTGCGCTAACTAGCGTCGTAAGCTTCAACTTCACGTTGGCGTTTTCGTTCCATTTGTACGGATTTACACCCATGTCGCGCCTAAAAAAGTTTTTACACCCATGTCGCGCCTAAAGAAGTTTTACTTCAAAAATTTATTAAAATTCTTCTTTGTTTCAAATTTTCTAATGCATTTTGTCTCTGCGCTTCTATGCTTGCTAGAGGCTGTTACGGCGACGATATCAGAGTGCCGTGCAAAATTTTCCAGACTTTAAACAAATAAAGACTTCAAACAATAGTTTATGAGTTTTACATAGTTCTATTTACATATTTTATGATTTAATAAAAATAAATCGCAGATTTTTGTCATGTTGAAGTACCCAAAATAATGCAACTTTTATATGGGGGACCTCTAAAGGGAGGTCCCAAGGGGTGAACCATGGGTATAGGTAGATCGATCTTCCCAAGTTACTGGGGGTCGGTCATACATTTGGAAATTATTGGGGCGCTCTAAATGAGCCAAAACAGGATTTTTTAAAATTTTACCTAATCTTTGGGTCAATGCACGGGACATCAGAATTCATTTTAGAGATATAGTTTCTTCGACAAATTATCTTATTTTGATGATTACTTTTTTACCCATACAAATCGACCCGCTCTATATATATATATATATATATATATATATATATATATATATATATATATATATATATATATATATATTTTGTATGATTCTGAATTTGATGTTGACATATGTATTAACAAAGTCTAATAATCGGGCATAACATCAATAAAAAACATGAATTTCTTTCAAAAATTTATTTTAAATCCATACGTTTCGGCTATAATCCTAGCCTTCATTCAGTGGAAACTAAAACTAAAATTAAAAATTAAAACAATTGAATTGGAGTGAAAAGAAAAAAATAAAATAGTAATTAGTACTTACAATTAGTTGATCTTAGTGTTAAATTGGAAAATTTTAATAATCCATGGTATTAGGATATGGTAATGCACTACACTATGTATTATAAACATTAACTTGAAATTACACAATATTTTCACAAAATACTGATTTGAAAAAATCACAAATGGATAGTGTGTTATTCGTAGACTGGTTGAAGATGTAATGGAGAAAGACATTTTTTAAAAAATATTTTTACCAAGATTCTGCACATGTTTGGAACAAATTGTAAATCCTTTGCGCGAACGCTTTTATTGTTTTGTAAGAAATTTGGAAATGTTATCTAAATAGAAGAGATTTGTGTCGCACAGCGTGTTGAGTTCATTCCGTTTATTTATTGTCTTATTGTTATAAATAGTTAAAAAAGATCCCTCTATAATTCTTCGTTCAAATAAATTTTGTTCAAATTGTAGTACAGTCGGATTAGAAAAGTCCATATTGTGTTTTAAAGTGTATATATGGTCTGCAAGAATAGTTTTGAATTGTTTGGGGTTTTTTGAATTGTTTTTGTGTTGTTGTAACCGTTTATTGAGGTTCTGGCTAGTTTCTCCTATGTAAATTAAATTACAGTCTAAACAATTTATTTGATAGACGAGATTTCTGAGTCGTTCAATATTAAATGGGGTTTTTGTCTTGGTAAAAATAGTGCTAGTAGTTGTACTAAAATTGGTTACAAGTCGAAGTCCAGATTTATAAAAAAGTCCATCTCTAGCAGAAATATCCTTACAACTCCTTGAAAATACAATTTTTAAAAATTACAATAAACATATTTTTTATTACCGTTATGTAGATGACATTATCACTTGTATCCCTAGTGATGATGTCACTATGATAATTGATCAATTTAATAACGTCAATAAAAAATTAAAATTTACAGTGGAATTGGAGACAATGAACTCGATAAGTTTCTTAGACATAAAACTTATACGTACTACAGATAACAAACAAATAACAAATTGGTACCAAAAACCAACTAACTCCGGACGCTACCTTAATTACTTTTCTTATCATCCACTCAAAATGAAAATAGGTACTATAATAAATATAACGGACCACGCAATACTTCTATGGGACAAAACATTTTGGGACAACAACATCAAATTAATTACAAAAATTTTAACAGATAACTCTTATCCCCTAAAACTTATAAATTCCGTAACTAGTAACAGACGAACGTACCTTTTGAATAAAATGGACAATTGCACAGTACCTAACAATTTACCTGACTCAGAAACTCATTCTGGTGTAATATGTTTGCCATACATTAAAAAATTGTATGTTCCTTGGAAAAAACTTTTTTATAAATCTGGACTTCGACTTGTAACCAATTTTAGTACAACTACTAGCACTATTTTTACCAAGACAAAAACCCCATTTAATATTGAACGACTCAGAAATCTCGTCTATCAAATAAATTGTTTAGACTGTAATTTAATTTACATAGGAGAAACTAGCCAAAACATCAATAAACGGTTACAACAACACAAAAACAATTCAAAAAACCCCAAACAATTCAAAACTGTTCTTGCAGACCATATATACACTTTAAAACACAATATGGACTTTTCTAATCCGACTGTACTACAATTTGAACAAAATTTATTTAAACGAAGAATTATAGAGGGATCTTTTTTAACTATTTATAACAATAAGACAATAAATAAACGGAATGAACTCAACACGCTGTGCGACACAAATCTCTTCTATTTAGATAACATTTTCAAATTTCTTACAAAACAATAAAAGCGTTCGCGCAAAGGATTTACAATTTGTTCCACACATGTGCAGAATCTTGGTAAAAATATTTTTTAGAAAATGTCTTTCTCCATTACATCTTCAACCAGTCTACGAATAACACACTATCCATTTGTGATTTTTTCAAATCAGTATTTTGTGAAAATATTGTGTAATTTCAAGTTAATGTTTATAATACATAGTGTAGTGCATTACCATATCCTAATACCATGGATTATTAAAATTTTCCAATTTAACACTAAGATCAACTAATTGTAAGTACTAATTACTATTTTATTTTTTTCTTTTCACTCCAATTCAATTGTTTTAGTTTTTAATTTTATTTTTAGTTTCCACTGAATGAAGGCTAGGATTATAGCCGAAACGTATGGATTTAAAATAAATTTTTGAAAGAAATTCATGTTTTTTATTGATGTTATGCCCGATTATTAGACTTTGTTAATATATATATATATATATATATATATATACACATATATATGATTTAGTAGTTGGTTTTGATGTTGAAATATGTGAGTGAGTTCTTGAGGGCGATACATCAAACAAAGAAAAGCCAAAGATTTATAAAATAATCTTTATTTCCAAACGTTTCGACATTCAATTTAATGTCATCATCAGTGGATCTAAAAACAGTATGAAAATTAGTATATCTAGATAATTATAATATATGTGGATTGGTAAAGTAACTATACAATAAGAGGAAAATTAACAAACAGCAACACTTAACAACAAACCAAATATAAAAGATAGGAATGGTAGTAGAGACTAGAATTAAATAAATAATTAAAAAATATAGGCAAAAATATCTAAGTACACTCATATAAACCTACGCATATATACATATATATACATGCACATATACACACATATACATATATATATATATATATATATATATACATATATATATATATATACATGCATATATACATATACACACACATGATATACAGATACAACAATATATACCTATATATGTACACATATACATGCACGACCATACAAATATAAATATACGCATATACATATATGCAACGTGCATGTATATTCACAACGACGTACATGTACATGTATGAAACATACATATACTCATACCTATCTATGTAACTATAGTATACACATGCATATACGCATAAACATGTATATATACATATATACACACATACATATATATATATATATATATATATATATACATATATATATACATACATATACACATATATATACATATATATATATACACAATACATACATATACATATGTACATAAATGCTCACAAATATATATATATATATATATATATATATATATACATACATATATACGCATATACAAATACATGCATACACATATACACATGTATATACATACAAACATACATGTATGTATATATATATATATATATACATTAGGGTGGGCCAATTTTTTGCATATTGAGGCACCTCGCTAATTTAACTTGTTACATCATTTGAAACAATATTGTAAAAAAAAGCATAACCCGCAAATGAATTTAAAGTCAGCGAAAAATTTCAAACATTTTTTAATTTAAAGTAAAAATTGAAAAATCTCATGAAAAATATATTATGACATATATCGAGTTATACATCATTTTATTCGTAATTTTATTCTGCATCTTTCGTACGAACAAAGTTTTTTCGTATCTTTTACGGTTTTTATGTTATAGAGCAATATGTGTAGATGTTAACATGTCAAAATGCAAAGTGCGGCTAGGTTGGAGCAACACTCTTCACGATTCGATATTTCTCTAAAGAAAACATATAAAGTATTATACATCATTAAAAAGGTCTCAAAATTCTTAGTTCTTTTTCCATATATCACAACTTCGAATTTTGCACGGTGTGGCCTACAGGCGAGTTGCCGTCGTGAAAATTTGGAAAAATCGGAAAATCTAGAGAAAATTATATGAACACACCTAACCATTTATATACCATTTTATTCGTAATTTTATTCTGCATCTTTCGTACGTACAAAGTTTTTTCGTATCTTTTACGGTTTTTATGTTATAGAGCAATATGTGTAGATGTTAACATGTCAAAATGCAAAGTGCGGCTAGGTTGGAGCAACACTCTTCACGATTCGATATTTCTCTAAAGAAAACATATAAAGTATTATACATCATTAGAAAGGTCTCAAAATTCTTAGTTCTTTTTCCATATATCACAA